CAAATATGGCCTTAGCTATTTGTTTGTCAATAAGATGTTTTTCCCCTGCTGAAGTTCGCCTAACGAAATTGGACATTGAGGATTGGCTTTCACGTTTCTTTCTCTTGGAAGATTCTGGAAGTGAGTTGGAGCCTGTCGAGGGAAATGTAAAGGTGGAAGAAGCACTCAAAAGTCTCAAAAAAGTTGGGCGGAAGATCGATGTTTGTATTTGTTGTTGTGTCTTGTTTGTTTTGTTGCCTCTTACAAACGTCATGGTGTGCCTTCAGCCTTTGTACTATGCCTTGAATCTTTCTTACACTGTTTGCAAGTTGCTCTGCATCCTGACTTATTAGATGAGGTGGTTTTGATGTAAATCTGCCAAATACTGTCTTCTTTCCTTCCAGCCATTGCGTTCTGTTCAAACTGACTTATTATTACACAAACACAAAAAATTTACACACTTCAACATTAGCCTCTCTTGAAATTTTGTGATGAAATGAATAAGACCGAAGAAAGGCGACGGCATTTATAGATTACGCCGGGCAACGTGCGAAAACGAGTCGCGGGCCATTGCGACAAGAATTTTCAGTCGAAAATGCGTTCGGACAAGTATTGAATCGATTCAACTTAGCTTGAATCTTCTCGGCAACAGTTGCAATGACTTTAAAACAGCTAATTAAGCGGATTTATCAATTGATTTAATAAAGATCAAAAAAATCTTGATTTTTTTAATTAATTTAAATAAATCAGTGATTTTTTATTTTTTTAATAAAAATCAATTTTTGCCCAACACTGCTATAGTCCATCCCATTGAGATCTGGCGAGTAGATCGGGCATTCCGCCGACTAGATAAAATCCGGAAAATGAGTCCGGTACCAGTCCTGATTCGCTTTCGCCTTGTGGGCCGGAGTCCTATTAGCCCCATACACGAGCGAAATATTTGTCATCTGATACGTGGCGCGCCAAATTCGAAGAAATATCGGTGCGCTAATGGTTAACCACGAGCCAGATACGACTCGATGCGAATTTCGTACAAAATAAATCTGCAGATCTGGGGATCTACGGGCGAATACTAGTATCAGATATTATTGCCGCCTACTTCCGTGGCTTAAAGAAAATACATATTCAGATAAAATTTAACGGTTGACATTGGTACAGATTTGAGATGTAATGTATAATGTTATAATTCAAACATCGGGCAAGAGGTGATGATGAGCAAAATTTGGGTATAGAAATCTTGGAAGATGATGAGATAGTAGCTAATGTCACAGAAGAAAATCACTACTTCGATTACGAAGACGAAGCTATTCAGAAAATACCCAGTAAATAGGCGGTGAATTAATTTAATTTGTGTCTACTTTGGGCCGAAGAAAATGAATCGCCTCTGTATGAAGTGATTCTTCGTATTTGAATTATAGATATGTTACAGACGGTATATATACAGACTAGGCCATATGTTCAAGCGCAATGATGTTTTATGTCATGTTTACATTTTCAATTGTTAACTGCACAAATTGTGGTAAAAATAGTTTGCTCTTTGTTAAAGACGACGCTAAATATGATATATTTCAGATATGAAGTTACAAAAGTAAATCAGATGTAGTCATTAATAATCAAAATTATTGTCTCTATTTTTCAATTAAAATACGTTTCGGTGTATTTTTCCACCATCATTAGTTTTTCTACAATAACAGATAGTTAAAAAAAAATCATTAATTTAAAAAACAATCACAGTTCGTCAACAGCCTCATCATATCACACATTAAAATACATCACAATTGCAACACTTTAAAACATTCTAAAATTAATTAGGCCTAACATTGATTTCAAGAGAAATCAATATAAACAGTATTTTATTCGCTTTGTGCCCAAAATGGACAAAATTAATACTCCAAATGGCTTAAAGCAGCAACAACGCTACACATGTAAGTAAAAATATTTAAGTATCTGAACAAAGAATTCTAGTCTCTTCCCAAATTTGATTGTCCTGACTAATCACATGTTAGGCCTAATTAATTTTAGAATGTTTGAAAGTGTTGCAATTGTGATGTATTTTGATGTGTGATATGATGAGGCTGTTGACGAACGGTGATTGTTTTTTAAATTAATGAAATTTTTTTTAAACTATCTGTTATTTTAGAAAAACTGATGACGGTGGAAAAATACACCGAAACGTATTTTAATTGATAAATACAGACAATAAATGACTGAAACCCAGGAATTAATTTTTATTTGGAATTGAAACACAGTCAGGAAAGTATATGTCATTAATAATATAAGCTTTAATTTAAAAATATAGGTTTTACGAACAACTGTATGAGCGAACAAAATAGGTTGCCCAGAACAGCCGGGGTTTAACTAAAGGGTACCTAATGAATGTGCACATGTATGTTTCTCAAAATTTGCAGTATTTCACTAAGATAGTAAGTAGTAGATCAATTTGCCTTTTTAACGTTGGTTTTAATTAGTTCGGTTTGTATCGTTTGTTTGTTTTTCTATAATTATGTATTTAATTGTTTTAATAACAACGTGTTTATAAAACAAATACCAGCGTGCAATCGATTTCTAATTTTTTTTGCCGCATTTTTCCCTATGGCTGCCGACGCCCTTCCAGTTTATAGTTTCTAGTCGACCCACTTTCTTCTCACTTTTTTTGCGTAGATTTTCTGAAACCACTATGATGCCAGCACAAGCAATAGCTCTCCGTTTCTTGCTTCGCATTTTAAACACTTAGTTTAACTAATCTGTCTCTGCCACGACCAGATCTTTTAGTTCACTTGAAATACCACGCGCCAGATCAAGTCTGTCGTAAGATTTCACTCCACTAACGGACGGATCTGATACCTCCAATCCCACTGGAAGAATCGGCACTCGTGCTTGGTATGTTAATTAGTGGACAGGAAAAGATTTAGTTCGTCCGATCTGGATCTGTCGAATCAAATCTCTACGTATCTGAACTGTACGGATAATCTGCCCGTGTATGGGGCGCTATTGGAAGGTCCAATCCGCATCGCCAAAGTGTTGCTGGGCCCACAGAAGTACGACGGCTTTGAAGATGTCACTGTGGTAGATGTCCTTGTTGATTTTCACCCTCTGTTCCACGAAAACAAGGGGGTGTTACGCCTGACGCAATTTCCAGAGCAAACCATAACGGGCGCGAGATTGGCTTCGTTCGACGATGGCTTGATTGTGGGCTTCTCGTCCGTGAAGATTTTGTCCTACCGAAGGGGAGCGCCGCGACGAAGGAGTCGTTTGCATCTTTCAAGCCGTACGCATTTGTCGGTGAGGAGCTGATTTTTTGGAGTTTGTAGGGCTTGAGATGGGGATTCCTAGCTATTTGGCGGATTGATTCCCGGTTGATACCAGTCTCACACGCGATTTTTGTCATGGAGACCCTTGGATTTCTTCTGACGCGTTCTCGGACGAGCTGCCGGTTCTTGACGGTTCTGAAAATGCGCTTTCTGCCTCTTCTGGGTCGCGACCAGTATGGCCGAGCTCTTCAAACCTCTTGATAGATCGTTCGCGCTATACCAATCGGACGCTTTTTCAACTCATGTAACGCCAAAATTTGTTCTATTTAGTTTGACATCTTACAAAAGTAGCTTAAAAGTTGTTGAATAAAATTTAAACAAAACATATATGTAGTATTTTTAATGGAGTATCGAATAAAAACACATTCGTAACAATTTGGTTATCATTTTTTTATTGTCACCCGGTAACAAAAAAAAACTTTGCAAATGATAATTTTGATCTGCAGTACGGTATGGTATGAGTTGTTATGTGGGGAATGGCCTTTTAAAAATCAACCGCCCGAGGCGGTTATATGGCAGGTTGGTAAAGGAATTAAACAACCCCTTGCTAATTTGCAAGCGTCTGCCGAAGTTAAGGTAAATACAATAAGATATAATTGATACGATTTTAGCTTTGCATTGAAACATTAAAACATCTCAAATTTATCGAAAGTTTCATTGTCTATTATTGCCTGGTACTAATTTGGAAAGTATGTAGAATTGATTAGTTTTTTTTTGGTAAAATGCGCTAATTTAAGGAGCAATTAACTTATTTAATTTAAAGGTGAAAAGGTTTGTTAATACAAAAATATAAATCGTCAGATGTGCTAGATGTTCAACTACACTCGATTTTAGGATATACTGATGCTTTGTTGGCAGTATAAAGAAGATAAGCGACCCGATTTTCAAAAACTGTCAGATATTTTGGGCAAATTACCTAAGAAAAAGTTGGAGAGGAGTCCCTCGCATCCGGTGCATTTAAGCAGATCTGCTGAATCTGTATTCTAAATTAGAAAATAGGTGAAATTTAACTATAAGTAGAATTAACTCGTTCCTTCGTTATTCAATATACTGATAGCGGTTTTAACACAACATATTTTATTGTAGTTGAGCCGAGCCGTGATTTAAACTGAGAATGTTGCCGCATATTATCATTGCGTATTTCGACAGTATTTTCAGTTTATGCCAATAAACTTCTTTACAAAGCAAATTCACAGTTCGAATATTGGTATGCTGGTGCAAAATCCCTTCACAGACAGGATTTTTCAACTAAAATATTAAATAATTTCTAAAAGTTGTGAGAAAAGAAGAATGTGTTTCGAACATTTAGAATCACCTTCATTTGGTCAAATTTTTTACCAGCGGTCGACTGCCTGAAAGTCACTGTGTTCTATATGCTAATTATTCTTTTTAATTTCAGGTTAACCAAAATATGTAATTCAATACTTAAACTCAATGAAAACTGATTTGTACCAGTATAATAGTTTTCTCTTAGAACCAATTAAACAGTCACTAAATACATTTTTATGCCGTGAATGTTGCAATCGTATCAAAACATGTCTTTCAAGACTTTTCACTCAATTCCTTTCTCGTATAACGCGATGTTGTTAGACGTATTTTTTATAAAAATATTTGTCTAGACGTTGATGTTCTTTAAATTTAATTGTTGAACACGACATAGCTTTAAAATGGGTTCTAATAACATTGATATTCTGAATAATTAGAAGTAGAAAACGACACAGATTTCCGTCAGTTCGCCAGACATTCCTAGACTTGAGTGATCTTCAGTGATTTTCTAAAATAGTCACATCTACGTTATATGCGATTTTTGCTATAGATGTGAATTGGCTTGATTTTATTAGAACCCTTGTTATCTTTCTGACTGTAAGCTTAATTATTATATTATAATAACAGTCGAGGATTTTGCACAAGGAAAATGATATTTAGATTATTTTGCATCTAAGCACCAAAACAGCTGAATACGCACGCAATGATGTTTTCGAGTTAACTGAATATGATCAGATGATAGAATTATTAGAAAAATTTTGTAACAAAACATGGCTTAAATTGCTTTCTGTCTTGTATTGCTTTGTACCTAAACCATGTTTGATGTCTTTACTACGTAACTATTGAATACGTTATTTAAAAAAATCATATACAAACACCAATCGGGAATTAGACGTTTATATTCCTATTAAATAACAGCACTCGAGTAGAACACAAAGTTTGGACAAGAAAATGCACTTTAATAGTTAATTACGTTTTACTTGTAGCAAATTTACTCTACTAAATTGTTTAATAATAATATCCCGAAAAAGACACGTTTTCACTGCAAGTCGCACTATAGCTGATATTGTGCCGCAGTGAATAGGTGTATTTTTTGAAAATAAAATGCAAATCTTTGTATATATTTGTATAATTACTGTACATAATTTGTCGATTCGCTACTCAGCACGACCCTGTATATATGTTGAAATATGACAAAAATGCATTCCTAAAATTTTCTTGAAACTCTAGTCAATTTTATCGAGAAAATATTTAAGCGGGGACTCTATAACTTATGGGACCCTTGCTGCTTATTTTTAAATCCTAACTAACTATTCTGAACTTTTAAGTCAATGTAAAGTGATAGACTAGGGTGAAAATGAAAAATAAAAAAATCAACAAATACGGTATCCAGACTTTTAATTTAGGCTACAATATTGGGTGAACTAGCATGAGAATAACGAAGTGACGGCAACAAGTTCACCAACGTACAATACGAGAAATATACAGGTCACATAATTTTTACATATACATAATAAATAAAAAATAATACAAACATGGAAATTCCCACAATAAAAATCATTACAAAAATAGACAAATTCTTAAATTAATTCTAATTCTTTATGGTGTTGAAATACATATGACTAGTACAAACATATCGATTATATCACTCAAAGCACAGGTAGCTTTAAGATAATAGACAGCGATATCAAATAATATTGTGCATTTAGGTGCAAGTTACTTCATCATTAGTTTTTAAAAATACCGAGAATAAAACTCCCTTTACCAAATTTTACACAGATGGAATACTACCATATAAGCATATAAGCCATATACTTCTAGAGATTGAGATATTAGGTTTTAGTGAGGGAATAAAGCTACATAGTTATTTACGAGAATTACTATTAAATCAGTGTAGGTAGTAAGAACATACAACAGAAAACAAAAAGTGGCAGAAATGAAGAGATTTATGTTATGTCTTTCCTCTATACGAATTTATAAGTAAGTAGTTTAATGTTCAGCTCTGTATTTAGATTAATTCATAGATAGATTGTTTCTAATTCACAAATAGAAACTGAGAATACTTTAATAATATTCTACTCAATTAGGAATGAATCGAGGGATAAAAGTGGCTTAACACGTTCTCTTATGGAAAGACATACAAACAATACAATAAATCGGAAAAATAATTACTTATAACTTATAAATATGAGATATTTTTGAGTCAACTTAAAATGAAAAAGATATTCAGAGTAAAGAAAAAGAGTAAGTAAAAAGGCTTAACTGCAAAAGCATCTTATGAGAACAAAAATGTAAATCGTAACCCTAAAACTACTTAAACAATAGGAATAAATGGGAAAACATTCGACACATTTGAGTAACTTCTTTGAGAAAAACATTGAACTAATCTTACCGGATGTAATATAGGACTAGTAAAATATACATGGTGTCATATAGCTTAAATACGACTTGTTTTGTGAAACTTTCGTCTTCTAATATCAGTAACTACAAACATTGAACAGTGTAAATACATCCTGTAAACAGGATGTTGGCCAACTAAAGCACTAAATAAAAAAAATCAAGTCGTACGTATATTAGTCTTAAACATACAACTAAATAAAGATATTTCTCGGAATTGGCTCCCGGGAGATATTAGATATAATTAAAAATTATAAGTAATTTCTTCGTGCTTAGCTTAGGTATTGTGGCTGTTATACGCCAATCAATTCAATATCATTAATATAATATGGCATGTGTGCGCTTTTGGCGACATATGACTAGGAATGTTGGGAACTTATCTAACATTAAAATAGTCTTATCACATTCAATGATATCGAAAAGACAAAGCAGCAAAAGTGCAGAATCAAGAAGAAACGTTAAAAATTGGAGTTTTAGGTAAATCGTAACTGTAAAATAATTTTAAAACGTTGGACAACACTTAAGGCAATTAGTTTATAGTTTTACGGGTACATTGATAAGGACCATGTTTAATAATTTTGCTTGTACTTGACTTTCTAGCTTAATATACAGGGTGTACCAGAGATGCAGAGATGGCCATTATTTTCTACGAATTTATCGAACGTAAGTAAAATGCTCTGAATAAATTAGTGTCGTCCAAAATTGTGCAGTTTGTTTCTTGACTAGCGATAGAGAGAAGACATTTTTAGAGAGAAAGAGTATTTTTAAAATAAATTTCTTGTTAATTGATTTTCGATTTAAAATTGTTAGAAATTATGGCATATTCCACATCGCTTGCTTTTTACATACAATTCTGAAGCGAAAGTGTATGAAATATAGTATGAGCGATAACAGGAGTAATTACAGTTACCAAAATTTGTAAGTATAGGAAAACTAAAAATTATTTTTTATAGATATAAAATCAACCAACTAAAGTCAATCCAGAAAACTCCAACAGTAAGACAATTGTTTGTTTCTTAATTTTACTTGCTTTAAATTGTAATTTGTACCACACAAATGGCAATATATTATTCAAATTTTCAGGTGGAGCAGGTGGAGCACCTATTTACAATTTTATTGACATTGAAGTCAAGGAATTCGAAAAATCTTATTTTAAAATTAACAAGTGCATAGATCGTTTTAATGAAACGACAATGTTCGCAATGTTTAGCCAGTCGTGTTGAGAGGCAATTCAAACCGGTCACGCATGTTATCTTCGATTTAGACGGGGTGATTATAGATTCCGAAAAAATATACAAAAAAGCTTTTCAGAAAACAGTTGAGGATTATGGCCAGACATTCACTGATGCCTCTTACCGAATGATGTCCGGACGTACAGGTGCAAACGTCGCTAAAATTACCATAAAGGAATACAATCTAAACGTTTTGCCAGCGGATTTAATCAACAAATATCGCGGATATTCATACCCTGCCCTGATCAATGTTGAGCTTCTTCCAGGTGTTGAGAGACTAATCAAACACCTGTACCAACACCATGTACCGATTGCTATAGCGACATCATCCGCAAAGGAATCGTTCATGATGAAAACAAGACGATTTGGACATTTAATAAATCTGTTCGACCACATAGTTTGCGGTGGCGATCCGGAAGTGAAAACCGGCAAACCAGATCCGGACATTTATTTAGTGTGTGCTTCCAGATTTGCACAAAAGCCTCATCCTTCAAAATGTTTGGTCTTTGAAGATTCAGAAATAGGACTGAGGGCTGCATTGAGTGCTAACATGCAAGTGGTTTTGACACCAAACGAAACCGTTCCGGAAGAAATTTGGGCGCTCGCCACTTTAAAAATCGAGTCACTTGAAGTCTTTGCACCCGATTTGTTTGGCTTGCCAGCGTTTACTTAGAGTGAAGGCGTCCAAAAGCAAAGTAGCAATTCCGCAAATCAAATTATTCAATCCGAACAGAAAGATATTATCACCTGCTACACCTGTTTTTCCTTTAAATAGTAGATATTAAAAATGCGATAATAAACAACACCATATTGTTTTAGCATGCATTGCTTAATTGTTGTCCAACACTTTAACCGATATTTTTCAACCTCTAAATAAATAATTTCTTTGTTAATTCATCTTGAGTAACCATATGATGATAAATGAGTAAAATTTAATTTCTCAAACCACGTTTTTAACATGGATTAATTTATAAAATCGAATCGTTGAAACGAATTTGTATCTAACGCAATTGAGACCGTATCTATAACTTGCATCATAATAGTCTCATAATAAGCAAATAAATTAACTAACATTCAAATTTTTGAATGTTAGATTGCTTTAGAAATCAGAATATTTAGAGTTAGTTACTTTGAACATCTGGCAAACTGTAACTAGTAATTAAAAAGTCATTGGGGGCAAACGGCCTAAAATATTTTCAAGATGGTCACACTTAAATGGAACATACAACAACCCTATATATTATTACATTTTAAATTCTGCTTTAATTTATATTTATATTGTATGTATAACATCCTATACGTAAGTCTAACCGTTTTTCATATATTTGAAATTTTATGTAAAAAATTACAGTTGCAGCCACTCGAATAATGATTCATTTCTTCTTAATTTTGCAATTTCCTACTTGGATAGAAAAACACATACATATAGGGAGAAGTTTTAGTCAAATTTATGGCAATATTTTCTTTAAGCCGTTTTTTATCTCAAGTTATCGGCCACAACTTTGAAATAAAAAAAATGATTATTCCTTGAAATCATACAATCGGAACCATAATTTGAGTATGTATCAAACATCAGTTTACACTGACAAAAATATTTTCTATATCTACAAAAGGCAATACTGATGATAATTACTTACCTTACTATATCACTATTACTGAGAAATCTTTTTGACTTGGTCGTTCGGTAAATCCACATGAAATGAGATTCCATAAGGTCTTAAATGGTAAATCAAATACTCTAAAACGTACATTTGATTTGGCGAGACGTAGTGAAACGAGACCGCATTATCTGAGCAGCATTCCATGCCCTAAAAATCAATTTTTATATCTACCTAACTTGGTAATAACTCCGATTAACTTACCTCTTTATTTTCGTAGAAAATATACTGCCAGTACCAGAAGTTTTTTGATACGTGGCCCGGAATTAGGTGATGTTCGGGAACGAAAGGAAAAAATCTCCCACGTCCCATCGAATCTCGGGAATCTCCGGCTATTACTTGTACAGCTTCCATACAGCGGCCCAATTCTACATCTTCAGCGCCATTATCACTCTTTGAACAACCAGAAGCGTTGCGCAAACCAATCTGGAAATCATGTCAATACATTATTTCACTCATACTGATACAATGAGGAAACATTCCTAACTTCTATGATCTTGACGATAGTTCAGTTTCAAGGAACGTTGCAATAAATTTCAACGTTTAATTACTATATAACGAACTCAATATCGAAACATTGTTAAATGCCCTGCTCTGAATGGGTTTTCGACTAGAAACTATCCGATAATGTGGATATTATTTGTGCTGCTCTGTTACTGATTCTTTGTAATCAAGATTCATTAATTGGGTGTTCTCAATTATGCATTCAACAAAAGGGGTTTACTTTGAAAATATTGTTTAACTTTCGCAATTTATTACCCATCTGTTTTCTTCGAAGTTTCGTATTACGGTGCAATTATAAGACAAACTATATCGTACTAGAGAGATATAAGAAATTAGCGACATATCATTGCTATACATACATTCAGCATGCTCATTTACCCATAACAACAAAAATAATCAAACATATGTAAAACATAACCACAACACAAGACAAATATCTAACAACTTTCTTGCTCTACCTGAAAAAATAATCGAACAATTCATCTTAAGTTTCTTAATTATGTAGCCCCACAATTGTATAATTTATTGCCAAGTATAATAAGATCAATAAATAACTTCAATTTGTTTAATAAAAAATCCAGAGAATAGATTACTATACACAGGAACACATTTGTTCAGATACTTTCTCAAAAGTTGCTAGTTTTAGGTAAGAATATACATGTATGGTAGGCTATGTGGATTACTGTTAAACCAGAACAGAAAATAAAAATTTGATTACTGATATAAAAAAAATTTGTAACCTCAAGAGTACATACAGGTACAAGGTATCTAGGTACTCAACAAATATTTTTTACATTATATGAATTGTAAATTGACAAATAATTTTCTGTTTACATATATATTTTTAATAAATTTTGAATTTTAATTTGAATTAAATTGAAAACCGTTACTTCTAACGACTTTAATTAGAAACAAATTTTATCAAGATATTATAGTTTAATGCAGCTAGTTACCGAATGCGATAAATGTATATTAATCTAAAACTATGTGTTAAAAACCGCAAGTAGAGCTTTGCTTCGGGTGCGGTACTTACTGATACTGGTTTATGGTAATATTGTCATTTTTTTATGAAAAATAGCAATCATGGAAATAAAAACTCATATTTTCATATTCAATTTTCAAATCAAACCAATAACGAAGAAGTAACTATTTCACGTGTAACACAACTAATCTTATCGTTTTCTTACCTCAACAAACCGTCTTAGGGCTTCTTTACTTAGTACATAGCCAGCACCACCACTCATATACCCTTGTTTCACATACGGTTTGAATCGACATCCAAAATAAATTGATTCGTTTGAACTGTATGGCGTCAGCATGTATCTCAAATTTTCTAATATCATATACCTACAAAATAATGAGATTATCCAACTTTAATTAAATGTATGTAACTTACGTATCATCATCAGCTTTGAGGAACCAATCAGCCTTATCAAAATAGTGCTTGTAAACATACTCAAAAGCCCTTTTGGTTTTTCCCCATAAATATTTGCGACCTTCCTTAACAGGTAAGGCTATTGCTGGCAGAGACGCATCTGAAAGGAAATAAATAGATGCATGTTATTTGAACTAGAAGAAGAAGAACTATTTTTCTTTTGATATAAAAGCTTGAATAAAAAGAAGATTTTTCTTTTGTATTAACATGTTACTTAAAATCCATTCAAAATGTGAGATAATTTAAATGCAAACAAACAAAAAGCAAAACAAGCAATGACAAAATTTTTTTTTGGAACACAACTAATTATAAAACTCATCTTGGGTAGAAATTAGCAAACAAATCATCATATTGGATTGATGCATTTTTATTTAAAATCGATTAATAATATGCATTTTCTGATGCGTTTCATTGATGCAAACCTCGGGTTTTACGTTTTTTTATTGCACAATTTTTTATACTTTAATCGGAAAACAACAGCATTAATAATCCATGGAAACTAATTGGTTTTGAACTAAAACATCTAACGATGTTTTTTTGTATATGTATCTGTTTTTAGTTCTTCAGAAGTGTTGCTTTTATTTGAATGGGATATTTTGTTTCTGCATTATTATTTTCATTCTATACCTATTAATAAATATATTTTGGCTAAATCCGGTATGTAAAGTACTAAAGTTAAAACGTAAAGTTTATGTGTTTATCAAACTTAAAACAACAAAGTGATTCATTTACATAAGCATTGAACTTCGTAGCTTAAATATTCTACTTGAATACGTTCAACGTTTTCATTTCTGTAAACAGGATGAAGATTTAAAATACAAGTCGGCCATATAACTGATATATTCATACATTCATGCACGAAACAACGTTTAAAAATTACACATGTTACATAGCTTTAACACTACTATGTAAGCTGTAAGTACTGCTTTAGAATAATAAATGTTAATAGCACAATTCTTTATTTGAAAAACAGATTTTTCAGTTCGTGTGCAAAATGAAAAATATAATTGTAGTGTGTGATTATAAATGACTATTAGACTCAATGACGCTTCTAAGAATTAAATGTATGTTTTAAAAGAAGAAAGTAAATGAAGATACATTCTTGTAGACTCTGCCAGATATTAAATAAACTAACTATACATGCATTTTTCACAACGAAGTTCCTCAACAATATTGGGTAAAACTTCAAATGTTGTCTGAAAGTGAAACAAATCCACCTTTACATAACGGGACCGGGAAATATTTTAATATTTTTTAAAAGGTGGAGCAGTACTTTCAAGAAAAAAACAATCAACATGCATTTTTGAATATTTCACATATAGAGACAGTATCTGTTTTATTTGATAAAAAAAAATAAATATGCATGCATATCAGTGATGGCGAGACGAATAGGAAGTATGATACAGATAAGAACGTTTGAACAAGCTGTTCGACTCTAATTATTTTACACACATTATTTGTTGATAATATTCATATCAACACATTCATAAAAATCTGGAAATTATTTGGAAGTCAAGGATTATAACTTTATGGTAGTTTTTGTTGCAGTTAAGAAATATAAATTTTCGATTTCTTCAAAACAAAAACTTTTCGTTAATATAAAAGTTAAAAATTTAAAACTTTCTTGAATTGACAGAAAATTAAATAGTTATTAATCGTTTATGAAGATTTATTCGATTAGAAATGGTTAGTTAATTCAACCAGCGTCAGATATGAAAAAGTAATATTAGTTAATATTATGGCCGTATGAATGAAGAAAATCGACATTACGCATTTCTTCTCCCGCCAATTTTCCGCTGGAGGATTATAAATGTAATCTTCATATTTAGAAGATCTAAGTTAAATTGTAAAGATTAGAATTAATTCTCACGCAAAAAAAATCGGCCCGAAAGCTAAAATGCTTTAAACATCATCTAAATAATTCTAATTAAAAATAGATTAAAATAATCTATCGGCTTCAATATAAATCAATAAATAATAAACAAAAACACACAAACCAAGTTATAAATAATACATAAACCAAAATATACTTCTAACATAGGTAATTTATCTACCTATTTTTTGAGGTAAATTTAAACTCTTCAGTCTTGTTCTGCTGAGAAGCAAAGATTACTGATAAAGTAAGTTTTGAACAAAATAGATGAAAGTACTTACCCTCTTTGGAACTCATAAACAGCAAAATATTACATCGTTTGCCCCAAGTATTTTTTACATGTCTGGCTCGTTTCTCGTGATTGTTGGGGCCAGTCATAATCCAACACAAGACTCTCACGTCCTTGTACAGTTTGTCTGCCACTGAACTATCTTCCAGAAGATGAAATTCCTCATTTTTTAAATGTACACCTATCAAAATGCAATTTAAATGAGGCGAATGATTAAGATGTATGTATAAGAGAATGTTGTTGATAGGGCCATACCTGGATCAATTGTAGGTCCCGCTAGCAAATCCATTTCATAACTTGAATGGGGATCGGAAAATGCGATTTGTTGAGTTAGGGCTACATAGGCAACAGTAAAGCCTATGGCCAGCCCGGATAATAACATCAAAACGCATTGTTTATTAATTGCTTGCCTGCAATTAAGTAATAACACGAAAATACAGTGTTCATTGTTCTTTAAATTAGGCCTTAAACCCTGTAGACTTACCATTTATACATCCTTATTTGCCTCATATCAAACTGCCGTAAAAACCAATTAATTTATAGTCGAAATTTGACCATTTTGTGCATTCAGAGAAAGATTTACTACGGTGCTCATAATAAAAGCTTGATGATTACTTAATAGAACCAACAGACTACAAATCTGCTTCCTGTTCTCACTTATAACTTATCACTCATTTTATTTGAATACTGTTACACAAATCGCACAAAACTTGATTGAAGCTCCTTGTTTATTTATCGGTTTGAAACCAAATGCAGACCCGATCCTTGTCACATTTGTTTACTGCGAAAACGACATTTCTAGGTTGGAAATGTCGTTTAATCTTTAGATTCGGTTGGTATCATTGCTGGCGAGCAACTACCCGAAGTAGTGACGTCATTGTAGCTAATTGTATAAAAAATTGAAATATTTTTTTTATGTAATGAAATGAAACCACAGAAAATATACATTTGTTTTAGGATTGATGTTTCATCTGCTCAGACTAAAGACGTGTACCACCCGGATAATTTCCCTACGTCTTCAGTTCACCTTTCCATTGCTACAAACAATAATGCCTAAATAGTTCCGTTTTAATGTTTAGCATCTTTTAAGTAATCTAGGAATTTAGCATTTCATTTTGCCGATGGCTGTGCTTTCCAAAGGTCGGAGTCACAAATTCTGATTTCTTTAAGAACTTAAACGCTTTATTTAACAAAACATATTCCTTCAACATTGTATTCTGCAAATACACATACAATTTTTACATATCGCCCAAATTATACATAAAATGTAACTTGAGTACACGGGTACAAGATTGGCTTCACATAAATTAATGAAATGACAGTCTAAACTAAAATAGGTGCTATCGATTCCATGATCTAATCGTAAATATCTTCTTTGTCTGCAACATACCTGAAAAATATTATACATTTTAATAAAGTGAGGAAATAAGCCTAAAAGCATACGTTGTGAAAGTAAAGTTCTGTCCGAACCTCAGATTAAACAGATGCATTTGATTTGATTACGTTTTTCGATGGTAGCAACAATGGTTCACAGTCTATATAAAAGTAGGTAGTTACGAGAGCTTATTTGCCGGCCCAATATTCAATTTGATATATTGAGTAGCATCAACAAGAAAATCAGGGTATTTAATGTTAAACTTGTCCAGTTTGTAATAAGCCACAAGTCATTAAAATAGCAGCGTTGAAAGTATAAATTAAAAAAATCATGAGAATTTAAGGTGGTAATTAGAAGAAAACATAATGAAACACTGTCTTGTCATCAAATGAGGGGAATATGGAATAGTAACATTATAGTATGGGGAAAGTCTACAAGGCGCAGTCGTAGCGCGTGTCCTTGGATTAATTCTACTGTTTGTAAAAATATACATCGGTACCTACTTTTATCCCTACCACCTATTTTTCATTGATAAATCGCAGATCGATACAATTCAAATGTTGGTCCCAAACACACTCAGACCAATAAATGAATATGAAATAGGAATTGAATTAAACATTGGGTGCGCTTTAAAACTAAACAATAACAAATGTTTATCAACCTGTAAAGTATTTAAATGTTTGAGGACGAATTAGAGGCTATTAGAGAGAAAAGGCTATTAAATAATATTTACCACTGATCATTGTTCAAACTATTCCGATTTTTTTTCTTCAAATTGCAAATACCTCTGAGAAACTTGATGAATCTTGAAGTTTACTGCGTCACATCATCAATAACAGTGAAGTAAAAAATAAAAAATGTACAACGATCGCCTAAATGCCCGAAAACTCACCAGTTTTAAGCAATGGCCGCGAAAACCGCTCTTTCGATAAAATTAATAATGTGGTTTTCACCCTCACTTAACGTTGCTATAAGAAAGTCGGGTTTGAGGTTTCAGTCTCCAGCTTAGATATTAACACCAAAAAATATTAATATTAAAAATTTCTAATAAAAAATTCCAAGCCCCATGTTGTCTTTGTCTTTTAGTTGCAAAACATTGTATCTATTTCACTAACTTCGTATCACAAGTTAATAGATTCCGAGGTACAAGGTGTCAAAGAAGTAAAAATTCTTAACCAGTTTAGCTATTACAAACAAAAATGTGGTGGCGGTTTATTAGATCGGGGAATCCAAATTTACTATTACTTAACTACTGCCATTTAAAACACCGGAATGTTTTGGGTTTTGAAACATCGCCTTTTGGTTGGCAATATCGCGTTCTTCGGTATTTTCTAAACAAAAAATGTGTACAGTAGTAGTATATAACAACATACAGTATGTATGTTGGTCATTTTCAGTAAATTCAATGTAATAGTAGAAGTTAAAATATTTCTTTTAGCACTTAACTAGCAGTAAAAGAAATTTTGTGCATACCCAACTTTAAAAATATCAATTTATGACAAAATTAAGAATCCAATTTGAGTCAGTTAAAAAAATCACTGGAGGTTTGAATGTGAAATATCTCGAAAATACTGAGAGATATCAACTTTAAACAAGTACACATTTTTTTGATTAAGAAATATCGATGAACGAGATATTACCGACAAAATAGCGATTTGAAAATCTAAAAATTGCCTGATGTTTAACTCGCTCCAGACTACTGTAACACAATTTTTTTGGTTATAGTAAAACTGGTTAAGAATCTATTAATAATGAACGAATATTTATTACATGTAAAAATGAAATTATACAGGGTGGTCATTTTCTGAATCTTTGTATGGGTAACTTCTACATTTTTAAAGATGGAGAATCCGTTAAATGGGCAAAATTGGGCAGAATTTGATTGCCTATTCATTACCGTTTTCAAAATTAAAACTGCCCTCATTACAACTTTTTGCGTTGAATCCAATAAACTAGCACTTATCATAGTCAACTTGATTTACGAGATAAAAAATAAACTTATGGTTTTTTAAAGGTAATCATAGTTGGCTGTGGGCCTTTTAAAATCATTATTTTTTTCTGAATTTAACGATATAATTGTTTGTATGTTTTTCTCCTTTTGTTGCCGTAAAACTACAAAAGAAGATAAAAAAATGTGTAGTAGACTATGAAAACGAGAACTATATTATCACACAAAGGACAAAACAATAATGAATCGTTTAAATTAAATGTTGAAAATTGACTTCCGTTTACGTCCAGGCGTTTTTTGGCATCTTCACACTCAACTCTTGAGTTGTGTGAAGGTGCAATATCATGTTGAAAATATGCCAATTTTCGATACGATGCTAACGGAAAACTATTCAACATGTCTTCAAGTTCATTTGATAAAAAGTGTAAATATCTTTCCATATTTAAATTGTGATTATAAAAGAATGGACCAATCATTTTATCACTAAAAATGCCTCACCAGACATTCACAAAAAAAAACACGTTTATCTCGCCTATTTTCAATTAGATGATGATTTTCATTAGCCCAGTAAACATGATTGTGTCTGTTAATGGTTTCATTTTTGTTTTGTGCTTTGTGTGATAGTATAGTTCTTGTTTCCATAGCCTACTACAAATGTTTTATCTTCTTTTGAAGTTTTACGGCAACAAAAGGAGAAAAACATACAAACAGTTAAATTCAGCAATAAATAAGGATTTTAAAAAGCCCACAGCCAACTATGATTACCATTTAAAAAAACAAGTTTATTTTTTATCTCGTAAATCAAGTTGACTATGACAACGAGTGCTAGTTTATTCGATTCAACGCAAAAAGTTGTACTAAGGCCAGTTTTAACTTTTTTTCTAAGTTAAGCAGTTTACGTAATAAGTGATAATTAAAAAAGTGTTGATTTCTTGTCTTTTCATGATATTTCAGGAACCAAGTCGGGTACCTAAATTTTGAAAACGGTGATGAATAGGCAATCCTATTTTGCTCAAATTTGCCCATTTAACGGATTCTCTATCTTTAAAAATGTAGAAGTTACCCATCCAAAGATTCAGAAAATGGCCGCCCTGTATACGATAATCACGAAAATATCCAAATCCCAGACAAACGGGCACCAAACACCATTAGCAAGATAATGTTTCGCTGACTATGCTGGCAAATTTCGTAAAAATCCCCAAAGTGACCAAGTTGTAGTAAATTTTTCAATTTAGAGCCCGACTAGACTGGTTCTGGAAAGAAATATTGCTCAACTTAAACGTTCGTAAATCTATTAACTTTCGGGTAAGACAAATTTGCCCAAATCGTAATAGGTATTTAAACGTAAACAATTTGTCAGTGAATTTTGTCTTCTCAATATGAGAAGTGCTGTTGAAGTAATGAAATAGATCTTGAGTATATCATTGTTCTTACCTAACAATATCAGCAGGTCTAAGAAGTCTTTCTGCATCTGTATCCGGAATTTCAAAGCCAAATTCATCTTCGATGGCCATAATCACCTCGACATGATCGAGCGAATCTAAACCTAAGTCATTGATAAAATGTGATTCCAAAGTGAGCTGAAAATCAGAACATCATGGTCATATCATATGATTTCGAATTTGGTGCTTAACATTTCTAGAGACTAATGCCTAGTAACAGTGGTAAAGCAATTAATAGAATCCAGAAGACTAATTTGAATCTTGTTACCATTGCTACCATCACAAGCAAAATTACCGTACCTTATCGGGGTTGACTTTATCATACAATTTTAATACTAAAAGTACCCTGTCAGCAATAAGTTTTAAAGTCAGTGGCGGTTTGGAACTGTAACTTCGCTCATGAGGCAAAACGAGTCTCTGAAATAGAAAAGAACTATTATAGCCTGATACCTTGTCAGCTGTTATTTTATCGTAGGACGCAACAACTTTCAGCACTCGATCTTTGATTTCTGCCTCTGTCGGTTTGGACTTAATTACTTCTGGCGAATAATACCTGAACTGAAGACAAAAAGATCCAAGTGACTTATAAAGGAAAATAATTGCACTGTATGTAACTAGCAGAAAGTTGAAAAGTGAGGTTATACTTCGTTATGTAATTTTGCTAAAAATGCCAGAATTTCTTAAGCTAGCGGGCAGATATAACGGTTATATAAATCGCCACTATGATTTTGATTGTTTCTCTTAAGAACTGTAACGATAAAAGCAATAAAATTCTACCTGTGTAGCTGCTAGGATGGGGCCATTAGTGAAGCTCGGCTGGGCAGCAATGGTCAGCTTCTTCAGTGGTACAATCCTAGATTTGGTTGAGAAACATCTCAAATATGAAGCGGATCTCGCTAACGAGCGTATATTTTTCACTAAACCCGACATTTTTTCGCTGAAAACAACGTAACCTCTCTGCGGTTTTCAGGCACTTATCA